AAAAGATACAAAGAAAAATCAGGATACTGAAAAAAAGAGATAAAAAAAAAAAAAAGGGAGGGTTTAGCATCACATAACTTCCATCTGGAAGACAAGTCAAGTTAGCCCCGTTGCAAGTGAAGTTGTGAACAGCATTGAAAAATTTCTGTTCAAGAGCGTTTACTGATGACTGAAATCCGCAAATTTAAGCCTCAATTTTTGGTTGCAGCCTTGGAAAGATTTATTAGATTGAACCCGATGTTTGTGTAAACTCCCTGCATGTGTTATTATGGCAAAAAAAGACCACTTACTGGGAGTAGAAAAATTTAAATTTGTTTATCTATGCCGCATGTGACAAGGTCTCACGCATCATTTTTATTATAGTTCCCTCCACACCAAGTGCGAAAGCCAGTATTTACATTTATATTATGAACTAACGGTGTCTTACAATGAAAGTGAGTAGCCGAACGTTGCGAGGATTTTCAAAAGGACGTCCAACAAAAGTAGCCGGGAAAAAGTTGTTTTTGCACAGTCCGAGCTACGATATGTTTTGTTCTAAAATGCCTTCTTGAATCATCGTCACGGAAATGACATTTTTCTTAGTTTCCTTTTCTTTAAGGACCTTGCCAATGGTGATTACATATCAGATTTGATTTAATCCTTAACCAATAGGAGAGTACGTTTCTCTTAAATCACCACATAATTTTAACTTACAATTAAAAAAGTTTGAGAGGGAAAGTCAAGGAGACCTTTTATCTGATTTCTCAAAGAACTTGAACTTTACATAAGAAAATGATTATTGCATTGCTCTATTTAGCAACGTAATTTGCATAGAAACAAAGTACCAGTAATGTATTATGCTGAATGAAAAGACAGATTGATGTATTGGAGATGTTTTCATGTTGTCGCCAGTAGCGACACACGAAACAACTTTTCTGATTCCATCTCAGCGCTTAAGGAGAATGACATTTTATGTAGTGCTTTTTTCTATTGATTACATGTAATATTTTTTAGTTTCTAGAACGTTGAGTAAAACAGAAAGTTTTAAGAAATACTGATAACGTTATCTAATGTTTGATGATCAGGTAGCAACTTGGAATTATAATTACAACCAAAACTTACTTACAATTAAAACTTTTCCGATAAATAAATAGAGTACGGCTTTCTAGTGACAGACCTTTTCTCTTACTTAAAATGCTGGGACGTCATTAATTAATCCAAGAATCTTACCATTTCCTCTGTTATATTTCTTTTATAATGAAATATTTTGTTTTCGTCGAACACTCTAGAATTATGCAACTTGTTACATAGCCATCTGCAGGGAAGTTTAAGAATAAGCTGCAATTAAAGTCGTTTCATTCCAAGCAAAGTTTTTCCGTTACAAGTGGCAACATTTTCTTTGAAAATTAAAATTATGATGCCAGGTAGTTTGAGGGTCATCTCCATCTTTAATTGCTTGGCTTTAAAAGCTCTTAAGAACTTGGAAACTCTCGCAGATCTACAAAATGACCTTTCCAAAAGAAAGAGCGAAAAGGTGAAGAGTTTTATTTGGCTGACGATGGGTTTTAACGATCTACGTGAAAGGCAGGTGATTAAAAACAGAAATTAAAAAAGATGCCAGAGAAGTCTTACTTAAGTGTTCTCGACAGCATTTCACGAGGCGTCGCACGAGACCTTATTTGTCCTTACTTGCAAGTAACAGCTTCCCCACTGACCTCAGTGCTTCAGATTTACAGTAAACGTCTACCAACGGAGAAAACCTCATCAAAGGCGCTTTGGTTCTGGATATATCAGATGCAAATGTCTTTTCTTAACAGCAGCGAAGAGAAGGACCACGCAGGTAATAGCTGCAGTGCAAATGTTAAATCACCTTGGCCCAATGCCCACCTTTCGACAAAAACTATTATAATTGCTGCGCTTACCTTCATATTAATTCTATGTCTGGTTTGCAACTGTTTGCTGATCTTGGTCGTACATAGAAACGTGAACAAACGGATGCGAACACCGAGTAATTATTTCATTCTGAACATGGCTTTTTCGGATATTTTGCTAGTTATCTATTCAGTTCCTCGGTACATAGTCATGATACCGTTTGACATGCAATGGCTTATCGGTGGAGTTGCAGGGGACATTTTGTGCCGATTTTCGTTTTTTATCGATGAAATGCCAATGTTGGTCTCTACCGGAAGTCTCTTTTTCATTACACTGGATCGCTTTTTCCTGGTGTTTTATCCATTGAAGAAGATCATCATAATGCACATTGCTCGTCGTATAATGGCTGCCTTGTGGATCTTTGCCCTCGTGTTTGCTGCCCCTTTGTTCGCCATGTCTAGATTGGCTGAAGCTCCATCCGGAATTCTCTTTTGCATTTCCGATTTTTCTTTAAGTGTTCTCTTTATCAAATATTTTTTGTTTTGCTATGTTTTCACAATAGCGATACCACTTCTTATAATCATCATTATGTACATCGCCATTGGTTTCAAAATTAAGCATAGAGTACCCCCCGGAAACCAGCTACCTTCGCATAGGGAGAGGCATGAACGGGTAACTCACAAGGTTTTGGCCATGCTTGTCGCTATAGTCATTGCCCTGATTTTGTTTCGTTTTCCATTAATATTTTTTCTGACAGGCTGTTTCAAGGGCTCAACTAGTATTTACAGTAATTCTAGATTGTTTTTCGCCGCACAGCTTTTGACGTATACCAACAGTGGCGTTAATCCGCTAATTTATTTTATCTTTAACGAGCAATTTCGTCATGGAGCAAGGCTCATTCTACACGAAGTCAGCCGGTGTTGCTTCAAAGCGACAAATGAGGTGCACGCTGTGAAATTTAGTGCTCACCAAACGAGCGGCTCTACCAAGCTTGAACATGCTGAGATTGTCCAGATTGATGTGTAAAAATAAACTTGGAGAGATGTACACTTGCTGATGACCCATTACATTTAATTGATAAAAGAAACTAATGACGCTCGAAAAATTCAATTAGTCTTTTAAATGCTCTGTAATCCATGGATTCATTCATTTTTGTATTCCTAGTAAGCTGCTTTTAATAGAGCAACCTTGCTGTCAAGACCATATCTAATTCAGAATAAGAACATAACGAAGCTGTGATCAAGAGCTATTGCACATTTCCGGTGATGGTTCAGAATCTTCCTGAGAGAATGTATGAAAAAAAAAAAAAGACAAACCTTCATACATTCGAAAGCTAACCATAGGAAAATGTCATTTGTTTGCAATATTCACAACCCCAGCCCTCTTCCTCTTTTTGGCCGTCGCTCACCCCCTTGGCTTGGTACAAATGTCTTTCTCTCCCCAGCCTTCCGCTGTCGTTAAAGTCAAAGATGGCGGCCATTATTTTCATTTTTATTCATTTTCTAAGCAATCCTTCGCAACAATCTTTACGGTGGCCAATTTACAATTTTAACTTAGTTGATATTACCAAATTACCTTTTTTTAACAAACTCCCTGATTCGCGCATCATTAAGTCAAACAGAACCGTCTAATATTGGTCTTTCTCCAAAAGAAAAATAAAATTAAAAAAAAAAAAAAAACATTAATAAGAGCTACCTATCGTGCTGCATAAAAAAGTGGCACGTACCGGTAGTCAGCCAGTCAGCCCGCAATTGGTCAGTTACTCTATCAGTCCTTCTGTCAGTTTGTCAGCCAGTCAGCCCGCAATTGGTCAGTTACTCTATCAATCCTTCTGTCAGTCTGTCAGGTCAACAGTCGAATAGAAAGTCAATTAGTCCCTTACAAATATTGTTCGTTTTGTCAAAACCGAATGACATGGGAAATGTCTTAGCCTCCCAACAGAAATCAAACCCCAATCTCGACTTCACCCTCCAACATTGATTTGATTTTTATTGAACTATGATAGCGAGCTACAGGTCATTAATAAGCCTTCGGGTCACAAGCTTCGTCCATAATTCTAGTTTCTAGGACCAGTTAAATAGAATGCGTCGCGTGCACCGGCGTAAGCAGAATAGAAACGTCAAGTTTTGAGCTGGTGTTAATTATATTGACTCGAAAAATTTCAATTTTAGTACTTTTTGACTGATGCCTGCCCGCCAATTTTAAAGACGAACTAAAAGACCAACTCTTTTGTGTGGATGTCAGTTTTTATCTATGTCTCGTGCTCGTGACGGAGCAAAAGCCTCCTTTGATTTTGACGCTCAACTTGTGTGAAGTTTCCCGGCAAACAGATGCTGATGGCCTTCAGGCTATATTCACTCGTACCAACCTTCGTAACTTTGCATGTCCTAAGCCTCGTAAAAAATAAATTCGAATTTTTCTCTAGCTCTTAATTAGATAAACAAGAAACTTCCCCTTGGTTAAAGAAACAAATACAATCATTCAAATTCCATGAAAAATTCATTTACATAAATGATATTTTGAAACTTTTCAAAATCCCACAAACGTTTTCATTTCCTGGGACTCTTTAACGCGTAATTCTTAAATACGCCTTCCTTCTCTGGTGAGGAAACAAAACTTTTCATTTACTCGTTATATATATAGTTTATCGTCTAAGTAATTCATATAACCAGATATTGCACATCTGTACTTATGAGCGACAAAGAAGTCAATTATGTCAAAGAAGTCAATTATGTCAATTTTTAAGATTGAAGAAAACATTGGATCATAACTGTTGGGAGTTGTTTTGAAGCAAAAAGCACGCAAACATTTCTTTCGAGATCACAGTTTGAATTTTTTTCCTTTTTGATGGATAACTCAGACAATCATAAGGAGATTAAAAATCTGATTGTTTTATTCTCGAAAGCACCTAAAAAAATTTTGTTTGATGAAAATACGATAATCAATCAGATTTCCCTACTTTTCTTTCTATATTGAAATGCCTTCAAATTAAAATTTAATATCAATCTACTCCTCTTTGAAAAATTCATTTCAGATCAAACAGATGTAAGCTGGCTATTCATTGGTCATCAAAACCTGGAGAACAAACATTCAAAATCGAAATAAGGTCGAGAGTCAACAACTGTATCGTCGGTAAAGGAAATCTACATGTAGTCGAATTTATTCTGGATTACAATTATTACAAAAAGCTCGTGGGAGGAAAATGTCCTTAACAGGTTCAAACTCATGCTCTGATGTAGGTGCTCCGACATATTTGAGCATTATCACTGCTACTGTGGATTCCATCCTTGGTGTTACAGCCATCGTTGGTAACTTATTGGTTCTACTTGCTGTTATTCTGGATCCAAATCGCAATCTGCGATGTCGGTTTAACTATTTCGTGGCTAATTTAGCTGCTGCTGATTTGGTGATGGGAGGTTTGGGGCTCCCCATGTCGGTAGAATTCCATATTCGAGAGTCGCTGACCAGCGAAGATTTTAAACCTTATCTCCCTCGAGATCATGTCAGGATGAATATCATATTAATCTCGTGTACAGCATCTATATTGAGCTTTACTGCCCTGACTATAGATAGATTTATTGCCATCAGAGATCCGCTGGGGTACAGGACAAAGATGACTACAAAACAGGCCTTCATTGTGTCAATTCTCATATGGTTTATTTCCAGCGGACTTACCGTTCTGTACGTTTACGAGGGCTACATGAACTGTCGGTTTTTAATCGCTAATCTAGCTGTTGCAGCTACTCTTGCCGTGCTGTGTCTCAATTATTTCAAAGTCTTAAGAGATTTTAAGGATCAAGCTGATAATTGGAATGCCTTGCACGATGGCCGAGGCCAAGACAATTGCGCGAAACGGAGAGCGCTCAAATGGCAGACGAAAATTACCAAAACTTTTCTGTTCATGTTATCACTTTTTATTTGCTGCTTTTTTCCGGCACTAGTATGTATCTATGTAATCAGCTTCTGTGCAAGGTGTTCTTGTTTATTTATTCACTGGCTCAGGGATTTAAACGGTATTTTGATCAGGGCAAACTCGAGCATGAACCCTTTCGTCTTTGCCTGGAGACTGAAACGTTACCGCGCCGCTTTCGCTAAAATTCTACGATGCGGAAAAACTCTGCCAAAATATGGAACAACTTCATTCAACTTGAGTACTTCTATGACTAACTTAGGATTTACAACATCTGGGACGTACAAATATAACGGCAATGAATCGAATTAAAATTTATTTCAGAGCTGCAAAGCTTGCTACGAGATAGAGATAACTTTGGATAATAGGATAACTGCGATGGTCGAAATTTTCAAACTGACCATCGCCTTGAAAGTGACTCATACATGAATACATACTGGTTTATTGGGTAAATATGAACTTAATTGTTTGTGAGGAACACTCGGGTTCTAATTTTTAGGTATTACAAAAAAGATGGATTAAAATAGAATAAAATATAATGAATAAAGGTAATATAATGATAAAAATTGTGTTGGTTAAGTAATAAAATTTCTACTCACAGGTTGAAAATTTGGCATAAAAAAAACACAAATAGAAATCTCACCGTCACGGCACTTTTTCGTGAATCTTAAGTCTATTCATTCCAAGCGAGTGATTCCTTAGATGTAAACGAACCCAAACTACTTAACGCACCGCGTTCTACGAGATGCGCTGCAAAATTAATACTCTTCAATTATGATCCGCCATACTGTTTAGCATCCCGGTGGAAGTTGATAGAAAATAAAATAAACTTAACTTCTTTAAATCTTCTGGGGCCTCATTGGCACGGCAACATTCTCTTTGACAGGGATAAATTAACTCAGTGCATCTCCTTATAAATAAAAACCACGAAAATGAATATCATTTCTTCCACCCATCCCACCCACTGGTTGATAGGCCAAATACTGCATCTGACATTAACTCACAGCTGGCAACTGACTAAGTCTCCAGTTACGTCATACAATAGCTTCCGATTTCCAGCTTCGTTGTTGCGTCAGCCGTAGTGTTCCACGATATCTGGGAAATCACCTGACTTAGACGGAATTCTGGCTAAAGGGTCAATAAAATGCATGAAAGTGCCGAGAGTTTTGTGAATTTCATTTAAGGGACATTAAGTCAGTGTGTAACACTATCAAGAAAAGGAAAAAATTGTGTGAGGGATGAGGAGAAATAGGCGTGGCTTTAACCTGTAACATACGCATCACTTTGTGTACCTCAGCGCAGGTAATTTATTAAAGTTCCATTGTTTTAACCATGTTTGAACTCGATTTAAATTACGAAAATTAGAATTAAAAAAACATCGAGAAAGCATTGTTCCATGACTGATGAGAGGACATGTTTTCTTTTGTTTTTATCTCAAAAGAACCTTTTCTAGAATCTCTAAGTCGCTTCATTGCCATTATATCTGTATGTTCCAGATACGGTAAACCCTAGGTTAGTCATAGAAATATTAAAGTCTAGTGAGCCACGTCGATTTTTGTTCGGCGAAACTATTCCACATCTTAGAATTTTGGAGATAGCAGTACGATAACGTTTCAATCTCAAGGCAAAGACAAAAGGGTTCATGCTTGAGTTTGCCCGGATCAAAATTCCGTTTAAATCCCTTGCCCAGTGTATGAAAGTGCAAGAACACCTTGCACAAAAGCTGATCACGTAGATTA